ATATATAATAACATGTAGTACCTATATCGTGAAATGACAAACTATTTAATCAAAACAGACTGACATCAGTCTTATAAATCGTGGCAAGAAACGAATGCCCGTTTGTGTTTAAACTATTAGATTTAGTTAGCGTGGAAAGAGAAAGAAGATTAATACACAAAGTTCATACTCGTACTAACATTACAAAACTTGACATCATTCCCTCCTCCCTCAAATCCTACACCCCTGAAAAGAGGGGTGAATAAATTATTCTCAAAAAGAATCAATACATTTTTCGAGGTAGTGACGCAGCTTCCTTTGTAGAAGCTGTCTTGTTTATTTTAGGATCAACAAAAATTGCCTTGTTTGTTACGTATTTTTTTTCCTATATATATATATATATATATGAATGCATACTTAATAATTCACAAGAAGTACGATTAATTCGAGCGATCGTTAACAAAAAATTTCTCATCTTCTTTCATTCATTGACATACATAATTTCTGAGAATTGCTATTAAAAGGTAGTCTATTTATGAATAAAAATATACATCATTGTATTCTACGATCGCTCGTTTTGTTATTTTAAATAAAATGGATGCGTCTATGTGCACAGCAATGAGTGGAAAAGAAAAAAGAAAAAAGAGAAAAAAAAAGAAATAAATTGACGAAATATTATCTCATATGTATGTATATATATATGATACATGCATATAGTCCAGGGCTTCTTAAACTATGGGTCGCGACCCCAAATGGGGTCGCGTAGCAAAATTCTGGGATCGCGAGAGATTTTAATGTCAAATATTTATATATACCATTTTATAACATCACTAGAGTTGGCGGAATACAGTGGACTTGCAGTGTCTAGACACGTGCATTTGTTGAAGGTTTTGAGCTATCTCCACCGACAGCAGTAATATTTGTATGGGGTCGTCAAGAAACTCGCAATCATAAATGGGGTCGTGAATGACAAAAGTTTAAGAAGCCCTGATATAGTCGATAATATTATAGCAAATTTCGATACTTTCGAGTCGTTATCAAAATTGACGCACGTGCATCTATTTAAATTCTTATCTGGCTCGAAACGATCGAATCGAATTCTTTTCACACACACATGCACACATACAAATATCAGTGCCATACCGTAATAATTCGTACTTCTGTTTTTTTTTTGTACTCTGTACGTGTTTAAAAGAAGGCAATCTATCCGACGAAGGATTAACTATGATTACCGAAAAAACTGCATTATTTTTGTTTGTTTGTCCGTATTTTCAGTTCATATTACACACTCGGAAGAGTCCACGTGGAATAATATCACCAGAAGAATCTTTTAAGAAGACGATGCTCTGTCCGTTCTTTAAGTTTTTGCGAGTTAGAATTCTATAAGTTTTCCTTCATTTTTGTTATGTTTTTTTTTCTTTTTGTATTTTATTTTATTTTATTTTATTTTTTATTTTATTTCATTTAATTTTATTTTATTTGTCATTAAAGCTGAATCTGACTATGAGGCACGCGCAAAATGGATAACCGACCTCTGTCTTTGTGAGCCAAGGAGATTCGCGCTTCTCTCGCTTTCCATTGATTCGAGAATCATTTTGCAACGTTTCCTTGGCGGTAAAATTAATGTTTCCCTTACGGGTATCGCGAGATCGAGAGGATCTGGCGAGGGTGCTGGACTAACAGGGTTGCTACTTGGCGGGGTTAACATTTGTTCCTCTTTTTTCACGTTCATTCCGTATTCCCGTTGTCTTTCTTCTTCAACAGCCTCCAAAGCTGCCTCAACTCTTCTACGAGCATCGTTTCCAGGTAAATTCATCAAGGATGGACATTTACTAACCATAGGTTCAGCCCCTCTGTTTGGAAATGCGAACTCGGTTATCGTGTAAGGACTTGACGATATGTCGGAGTAAAGGAAGACGTGAGATTGCTGTTCGAGGTTTGCAATCTGATGAACCGATCTTTCTTCGACCCCTCCGTTCAACAGACTCATTGGACTGTTTATCGAAGCAACTGATTGCGGATATTGTTCTCTCGGGAAAACGTAATACGAAAAATCTCGTTGATTCGGATATACTTCATTCGGATTACATGGTATGTTATCTACGTTTTTACGCGGAAGTTCCTTGTTGCTTCCGTTAGGGATAGGAGATATTGGCGAGGGTGCGTTATTAAGAATGACAGAATTGTTTTGCGAAATCTCCATGATCGATTCGATCGGTGAGTCTCTAACGGAAGAGATTCCGCTCGATGTCGAGGACGAAGAAGAAGAAGACGAAGAAGAAGAAGAAGAAGAAAATGGGGATGATGAGGACGAGGACGATGAGTCCGAGTGTGTTTTTATATGAAGTTCCATTGTTTTTTTCGAGCTAAATGTTTCGTGACATAGCGTACACTTATAGACTTTTTCACCATAATGCGCTACTTGATGGAGCTTTAATACATGATTGTATCCAAATGACTTGCCACATATATCGCAAGTATAAGGCTTTTCCCCGGTATGGGTGCGAGTATGCACTTTTAGTTGCTTCGAACAGGTAAATCCCTTGCCACAGGACTTACATTTGTATGGTTTTTCGCCGGTGTGCGTACGCATATGTATTACCAATTGGCCACTTTGTATGAACGTTTTCGAGCAGACAGTACACTTGTGTGGACGTTCGCCCGTGTGAATTCGCATATGACGATGGAGTTTGCCGCTGTGCTCGAAGGCACGTTCACAAACGTCGCACTTGTATGGCCGTTCCTTCGTATGTATCCGCCGATGAACGCTAAGATTTTCCTTCACGGAGAAGGACTTGTGGCAATATTCGCACTGAAAGGGCTTCTCACCCGTGTGAGTCCTGTAATGCCTGGTTAAACGTGCCGGTACCGCAAACGTTTTGTCACACTTGTCGCACTGATAAGGATCCTCCCCCTCCTTACTGTGCGAACGTAGGTGACTCTGATACAAATTCTTTTGATCGAAAATTTTCTGACATAGAAGACACTGGTAAGCCTTATCTTCGTTCGTATTCGCCAGAGTTTCAACGGCTACGGCAGCAGCCGTGGTACACGTTGTCGAACCAAAGACCGGAAGATCCGGGCTACAAACTAGATTCTTCACCGGATTCATTGTTTCCAAATTCGGCAGGACGCTCGTCATTGATACCGTCACTGGATTCGGGATCGGCTCGGTTTGGTAATAACTCACCATCGTAGGTCACTACCGTCTAAGAGCGCGGCCTACGGAAGAGATTGAACAATTCGATTTATTCAATTTTTGCGATTAAACAAATAGATTTTCTTTAATCTAGTGTCCCGTTTAAAAATGAAAACTATTATTATAAAAACGTTAAAATACGTATGCTTATCCTTAATATTTTATAAAAAGATTTAAAGTAAAATAATCTCTCTCTCTCTCTCTTTCTCTCTCTCTCTCTCTCTCTCTCTCTCTCTCTCTTTCTTTCTTTCTTTCTTTCTTTCTTTCCTTCTTTCTTTCTTTCTCTCTCTTTCTCTCTCAACAAAAGGAGAGAAAACTGATTTTAAATTGGAATTATATTATCTTTCAATTATTTTATCGATCAAAAAATAATTTGATTAAATTGGACAGATAGAAAAAGAATAAGGAATAAGAAAAAGAAAAATAATAAGAATGAGGAAGAACAAAATAAACAAAAGAAAGAAAGGAAGAGTCAGAAGAACAAGTCGAGAGAACGTATACTAGGAGAGAATGATAGGCGAGGAGAGTCCGGTTTATACACTACTTTCCTCCACGCGCGTGTCGTTATTGGTACGTCAGGAGGCAGCAAGCGTGGTCGGCGGCGGTGCAATACGCTTCGCCGGTAGAAACCACTCGCTGCTGCCTCCACGTGTACCCTAACATTTTCTTATAGCGATCACCGACCTCGTCCAACTTGCCGCGCAGTAAGGACGTCGGGTTATATCATGAATGCTGTATACGACACACAACTAAGAACCGTATTGAAGATTTATGCTAATTATATATATCTCTTTCTCTGTCATTTTCTCTCGTGCTATTAGTATTTTTTTAATCCGGCATTAAAAAAGACCACGGACAAAAATTGTATCGATCGCACGACAAATAAGCAAGGTACATCATGCGCTCTCTCTCTCTCTCTCTCTTTCTCTTTTTCTCTCCCTCTAAGGTTCACGAACAGGGTCGAATTATCTCGAATACGCCATCCTCCAAACTCTGACGCAGAATTCGCCGTTCTCTCCCTTCTTTTCTACCCTTCCATCGAAAATATCCTTTTCTTTTTTTCTTTTTTTTTTTATTACTCTTTTGTTGTTTCTATTATATTTTTCTTTTTCCTTTTACATTTCGCGTATAATAATATAGTGAAACAAGAAAACTGGCAGCATCGGTCGCATTTTGTGGACTCGTCGATATTTGATGCTTGATTTCTTTTGTTTTTCTTTTTTTGTTATTATTCTTACCGATTAAAAAAAAAAAGTGCATGATATAATATTTCTTTTGCATATTTTTAGAATATTATGGAATATAAATACACACATATTTATTTTCTATTTTAAATCTTATCGAATAAAAGAAAAATTATGCACGTGAAAAGGAGAAAACGATAGGAATAAACGTCAAAATATGTTTCTCGGAATATCTATAAACATAAATTCGCGAAGATAAAGAAATAAGGAGAGAAATAGAGAAAGAGATTAGACGCGCAAAAGAAAATTAGACGTATATAATAATAATAATCAATTAAAATCGATTAATTAAATAAAAAAAAACCTTCAATCAAAAATGGCACATCGATGACGAGCGACAAATCGAGAAAGGAGATTATTTATTGTGCGTTGAAATAATGAGAGAAAGTATAGTAAAAATAAAAAAAATAATAAAAAAGTGAATAAAAAGAGAAATAAAAGAGAAAAAGTTAAAAAAAAAACAATCGAAATGACTTACCGAAATATTTCTCGTACGTTTTTTCTTCTCTTATTGTCCTCTCTCTTTATCTCATACGTCTCAATAATTTACTTCCGCCTTCCTTGACATCTCTCGATTTCCAAATTCGATTGAACGTGTGTGAGAGCGTAACAGAACACTCGATGAAAAATATATACGAATAAATAATATTATACGACAATAATCCCACTTAATTCGAATAATAAATGCACAAATTTTCTTTCATTACTCCCGGTGTTGCTTTTTCGAACGTTTGCGTTGGATCGGGATGAAAAAGTTGATACAACGAAAACTGAAGGACCCGCCTCGCGGATGGCCAATCGTACTGTGCAATGTTTACCTCCTGGTCGAACCGAACAGTTACGGAAATCATCGATCATGGCCGAAGAACGCACGCTGGCGCGGCGCCTCTCCTTTCCCTCTGGTATCCCCTCCAAAATTCGTAGCAACACCCTTTTCAGCCCCGCAACACTTCTCTTCCACTCTTAGTCCAACCGTCTCGGCCCCAACTCTCCGCCAACGGCGACGACCTATAATTTAGGGCGGATAAAGTGCTTCATGCAGCACGTGGAGGCAGTCGTCGTGGTTTCTGCCAAAGGCTCGGCGCGTGCAAGTTCGACCGACGAAGACAGTCTCTACATGCGACAAGGACGACTGCTATCACTGTGTACTTGTGTATGTATATAAGTGTACTTGTGTGCTTCTTTTCCCTCTCTCTCTCTCTCTCTCACTCACACATTCTGCTGTATATCCGAGAACGTGTATGCACAATAATACATATTCGCGATCCATCGGAATATAGATCATCGAATCATAAACGACAAAAACGATCAGTGTTTTTTCATATTAATAAATACGCATTTTTATAAACGTATAATTAGTATCCATTTAGTATAATTGTTCTTTTAGATTTATATTACGTTAAAACGTACGTTTTTCCTTTCTTTTCCTTTTCTTTTCTTTTTTCTTTATTTTTTTTGTTTTTCCTTTATACCATTTGCAAGAGATTAATGTAGCAAAAATGAAAAAAAGAAAAAGAAAAGAAAAGAGAAATAGAACCGGGATGAACAAAGGATGATCTTTTGAAGAGGGATAAAACGTTGGAAGAAGAAAACAATTTTTGTATTTATATCATTTCCTTTCCTAAACGACTACTATGTAATCGTCTTAATACATCGCTACAACCAAGACGAGCGATCGATATCTCCCTTTTGTGCCTTCCCTTCTGAACAAAGATCACCTCAGTTTGTTTCTCTCCTGTTACATTGTCTTCTAAAATACTCAAAAATAATATTTCTATCGTATCGAGATACAATCGAGATAATCTTTCCAATGTGATTTTGATTTACAATTAGATTTGTTCAATCTTATTTTCTTTCTCTCTCTCTCTCTCTCTCTCTCTCTCTCCTCTCTTATCAAAATACGATAACGATAATTAAATTTGATCGAATTAAATATATGATATGCGAAAAATAAAATCAAATTTCATAATGACAGAATTCATGAAATTTTATTATTTAAATAATATAATTTGCGAGAGATTTACAAGTCAACTATTTATCTTCTCCTAGTTGTTGCACATAATCCTGCCTGCGCTCGCATCATCATCGTATATCCTCTTCGTTCATTCTTTTTTTTCATGGCCTATGATGATGCCGCCGATAGAAACGAGGTCGTGCGTATATACGTTCGCTTTCTCCACTATTTACACAAGCGTGTGCCTGCCTTTCTTTCCCCGTTTTCGGTCGTTACACTCCCTTGCATTCGTTGATTCATTTTCGAGCTTGAAATGGGATATCAATGGATATTCTCCTATTAAAAATATATACGTGTTTTTATTTGTAAATATATTTTGTCTAAAATTATTCTGTCTCTGTTGTTGTTGTTTATGATTTTGAACCAAAAATTGGAAATTAATATTTCAAAAAATTTTCTTTATAATATTTTTATATCATTCCTTCTGTGAATATGATAAAATGTAATATTATATATACTTAATATACATTCAATTTATGTAATTATCAAATTATTATTAAAGTATTATGTTATTTTTTTTTTTTAAATATTTTGGATGATGTTTACTTAATTTGGATATTATCAACACTATCTTGATATACGTATATTAAATATTGTTATAACGACTTCCATTTAATTACGAACATACTCGATTAAACTTATTACTTTTTATACGCAATATTTTAATAATATAAAAATTGTGAAAGAAGAAAAGATAAAACAATTTTTCTTACAAAGATATTTTTATCTGTAAAAAGTTTGGAAACAAATTATATGATTTTTAAGTAAGATCGATTGCTCGAGCAAACGAAACGTATTAAATATTTCCAATCAAATATAATCGACATAATCGAAGTGTCAATAACACGTGCTAGCGAGAAGATGTAATTACGACATCGTTGAAGCAAAAAGGAAAAAAAAAAAGAAATATTGCGTTGTTACAGAGAACAACATCTCCTGTTATTACGCTTGATCTCGTGTTCAAAGTTTTTTTTTCTTTTTTTCTTGTCTTCTTTATCTTAATTATTTCGTTGTTTTTTTCATACAAAAACAAAAAACTCTAATATTTTTTTCCCTTGAAGATGAAATTTAAGGCGTACGCTCTCGTAACTCGTCCTTCGTGAGACTGCGTCTGGACCTACCTTATAATACATCGTCATTCTTTTTTTATATGAGGTAACTTTCGTTCCAAGTTTCTAATAATAAAACGAGAGAGAATTTTATTAGTCGATCTTTCGTAAGGGAAGGTCAAAGACTCCTAAGATTGGTGTATACATGTCCAACGTATGAAGAACACAATTAAAAGGACAAAGATCTTGTTTTCAAGGGGAGAAAGAAATACGAAGAAATATAAGAGAAACGAATTTAATCTAATGTCAAATATTTTCATCTGTTTTTCTACTATAATATGGTTTATCCAATTATTTATTTATACGAATATAATACAATAATATCATATAAAAAGCTATTAATCAAATAAATATACATATGTATATAAATAATAATAATAATAATAATAATAATATAAAAGACATATTGATAATATAAATATATATATATATATATATCTATTTTTTCAATTTAATTGTTGACTATTATTATTTTATTAAATATATATATATATAATATATTGTATATTATTTTGTTTCGAAGGATATAGTCAAAAAAAAAATATACATATATATTCATGTATATTTAAAAAATGTATTCTTTACCAATTATTATTTGGTTTGGAAGGATACAGTCAAATTTCCTTTTCTTGGTTCGGTTGAGCGAACCTCGGACAAGTGTCGGTGTAACCAATGTTGCTTTCAAACGGGAGAGGTGCAATGACCTAGTGCGCGTAGTGCACGTGTAGTGTCTGGAAACCACGTCGACTGCCTCAGAGTCAGGGCATTGGTCGCCTCGTGCGGGTGACGCCGATCTGTGCCGTCGCTCGTGCCACCAATGCTTATAACCAACTACATATATGTATATATATATGTTTTTATACGTGTATTAGTAACGACGTAGAGGGGGCTTATATATATACCCCTGCCTACTGATAATGCCACGCTCCGAAAAGGTTATATATGTGTATGGTGTACGTGTATGGGTATGACTATGCTATGGTACGGGTATGGTTATATATATATATATATATATGTATACACGTGTTAGGTTATCCTTCGGACACGCCTACACCATCCTAAATTGAGTACTTTTAAAAAATATACAAAAATACACGCACATATGTTCATAAAATTTCATAATTTTTAATTGTTAATTTATAATATTTTGAAATTCTTTACGATTTTTTTATATTTTTCACAATTTGTCTCGTCAGAGTGATTTGAACATATTTTTTGGAGGGGGGTAGAAAAGTCTCGATTGTTCCTTTAGTCACACTACTGTTGATATTTGTATATATGTACGACAGAATATATATATATATATATATATAAAGTTAAGTTATTGAAATATACTTATATATATATGTTAATGCTTTTTGAAATTGAATAATTGTTTATCTAAATGAATAAAAGAAAGAGGTTTTTGAACTTTCATATTAGCATTGGAAAATTAGTGCCACGTGTTAGTATATTGATTAACAATGATATTAAGTATATTGATAACTATGTGTGTGTGTGAAATTATAATAAATGAATATATACTTATTCTAGATTTAGATAGTGTATACAAATATGAGAAAAATGTTTTACAAATAGTACTGAATTGTAATTGCGATTAGTACTAACAATATTGATTTTGATAATTCTTATTATAATTAAAAAAGATTAAAAGAATTTAATAAATAATGTAAAAAGCAAAAACAAAATAATATATATATATATAAAGTAATTCGATTAAAAAGAATATTAGAATATCTTTGTAACTAAATCTTAAATAAATTTAGTTAGAACGATAGAGTCGTAGATAAATTATTCGTTAAACAGGGCAAACACGTGTCAATAGAATTCAATATTTGATCATAACGTATTTCTAAATAGGGAATGAGTAGATTAATTCTGTGAGAGTTATCTTACCATTAAGAAAAACATGTTTTTCAAGCTTCCTATCTGTTACCCTTGGCGTTATTAAATTCAATGGAATCATTGAATGGCCCGGTGGTTCCGGGAATCCTAGATTCGATCCTGCTTACACACGCGTAAAAATATTCGGCAGGAGTGGCGTGCATTGACAAGGTTTGTGCGTAGTACGAATCTGACACGTCATGTGCTGGTCCTGAGGTCGATAAACGTCTAATGCCTGGATTTGGTTTCTTTGTTATATTAAACATTCCAAATTTCATCTTATTTATATACGCAGTTCTTTAACGCCTATATTCATATTCAGTTTTATTATATTTATATAAATGTAAACATTTATTTGTAAATAATTTTTATTAAAAATAAAGAAACTTATATTTAAATTACTTTTATTCAATAAAATTGCAAAATATAATATAAT